TTGAGAAGAAAATGCAGAAGTGAAATGAAATTGTGTTTTTGTGTAGGTGATTATGTGTTTGGGTTCTGTAATGATGTGGAGTGAGATCTAATTTACATTCATATAATTGGTGTGTACAAATATTTATGTAAGTATGTTGTGTGTTTTTGTGTATCTGCTAGTAATTTATCCTGAGTCTTGTCTAATATTTAGGAACATAGATGCAAGCAACATCTTAGGATTTTAGTTGGAAACTTAGTTAATTGGAAGACCTTTCAGTGTTTCTATAACTCAGAATAAGCTTTGAATAGTTTGACCGAGCAGTCGAGGCATTTGAATGCAATAGTTTTGCCTCGATGAACGATAAAATCTGGCAAAAATAGACATATTTTTGTTCAAGTGCTGTAAAAATGCTTTGTGATTTTTATGTAGAGCTGTCGCGAGAAGACTGCACACCTCTATAGTCTATCTTTTTTTTTTTCTTTGCTTACCCTTTTTTTTTGGCTTTTTTTTTTCCTCCAGAACAATTTATAAAGTCTGAATTTGTTTCCAGTGGCATTTGGTTTCGATTGACCGGATGATGAAAGGATTGTATGCATGTGTAGTTTGGTTTTAAAGATATAATCTTGGAGATTTTGTAGTGTCTGAGATGGAAAACACCAGTCCTAGAACAGATACATCAACAGATGCTGACACAGAAGATAAGGATGGGAGGGTAATGTTTGAAATTATTTTATAAATGCAATTCATTTTTTTCTCTTTAAGCTTTCCTGTTTTTGAACTCACATTTGTTCAGAATCTTTTGTTCTTTTCGATGTACAAAAATAGTGTGGTTTTACTTGCAGATGCCTGGTTTATGCATCCAGCGTAGGATTAGGACAAGGGTCTTAAGGTGTGATTGGATATGGATTTGATTGGTTTTTTTAACCATAGTAATTTTGAAAAAAATGGTATAGTTAGTTGTTGATGAGAGTTTAAGTTTACATATTATTTAAAATAAAATAAATAAAGTTGATTTGATGTAAAAGTAGGAAAAAAATGGAAGTGATGGTGTTAAAATTATGGGAGTAGATGTATAGATGATGAAAGTTGATGTGATGTGTTAGAATAATTGGTTGATATTATATAATTATATTAATAATATTGAGGATAATGGGGTTGGGGTAAAGTTAAGTTAAATTTGAGTTTGATTTATTTTATTTATTTTTTATTTTTTGCTGAGTTTCGGTTCTTGACTCAATGATGGCTGATGTGGTTTTTTTTTTTTTTTTTTTCAGAACAATCAACTACAGAATGCAGTTGGGTCTGATGGTAGTTCGAGAGACCAAAAGGTTTTTTGAACTATTAGTTCTATATGCACGATCTCATATATTTATATTGCTGTCGATATATAATATCAGCTGTTACTGGCAGACTCTCCGTAGGCTTGCTCAAAATCGTGAAGCCGCAAGAAAAAGCCGCCTGAGGAAAAAAGTATGTTTCATGTTTTGTGCATTGTAAAAAATGTTTTAGAATTTGGGGGAATCTTTAACATAGCTTTTGATAAAATGCTAATAGAACTTCCGCACCTGTTTCAAATGTTGTTATTTGTCTAACAAAATTAATTTTATTGAGGAAATAACTCGAATATTACATGTGTCCGTGAGTACTGCTTATGAGGCTGGACACAGATGAACACTTTTTGGTCATTTACGGATCGGGCTTGAATTGGCAGTTCTTTCAAAGTCGTTATTTAAGTGATAATGTCTCGGTTTTCAGCAGTTGAAGAAACTAAGGGTGAAGTGTTATAGAACTATGATTTTGTAAATATTGAATTCATTTTTGTTTCAAGCAAGACGTGATTGTAAAATTTTTAATTCTGGAGATGAGATTGGACTCACCCGAAGGATGTTCGTAAAAATATATTTCTATCTTGATCGTGAACTTTTTGCTTATTAGTTTGAACTGTTGGAAGTTACAATATTTAGCCTGCATTTTGGTTGTTTGATTCTCATTTGTCTCACTCTAGTTTGTTCCTTTTCTTGTATTTGTTTCTAGGCATATGTTCAACAGCTGGAGAGCAGTAGAATGAAATTGACACAACTTGAACAAGAACTTCAACGAGCTAGGCAGCAGGTTCAGCTCCTTATTCATGGCAGAATATTTATATATTTATTTGTATAAGCCCTCATAATATATGATTTTGATGAATATGTTTTCCTTTGCCGAAGGGAATGTTTATTTCAAGTTCAGGAGATCAGTCTCAGGCGATTGCTGGAAATGGTAAGAATATAACTTTTTGGCCATCTGATTTTGCTTATATAAGAAGTTACTCACTTGAAAATATAGGTTACCAAAATTTGTGTGGGGTTGCAATTTCGAGACGTGTGCTTCAAGAGTGTACCTCTTTGTTGTTTGAGCTTCTATTATGGACTGAAATATTGTATTATCCTGGCATTGGAAACATATGTAAACAAAGTGTAAATGAAAGGATAAAAAATTACGTTAAAACTTGCCAAAGTATTAGACTGAGTTTGGTTAAAGTTTAAACTTATAAGCTAGCTTATAACTTATTTATTAGCTTATAAGCTTCATGTATTCAAATCAGCTTGGTTTGGTAAAAAAGCTCGAGCTTATGCTTATCTCATAAGCTTCCTTGGGTAACTTTTCAAATAAGTCTCATTGAAATTTTTATTTCAACAAATTTTACAAAACACTTTTGTCATATAAGCTAGCTTTTCAACCATAAGTCATAAGCTATGAGTTATAAGCTCGAAATTCACTTAAAAGCTATAAGCTAGCTTATCAGTTACGTTTACCAAACATAGCCTTAGACTAGTTGCACGTAATTTTGGTTAGCTTGGATACCCAAGTTCTAATTACATCACTACTTACATCATGGGAAAGTTCTTTTGTTTGTTTTCAGCAATCTTAGACTTTTATCTGAAAAATCTCCAAAATATACCGTAAATTTGTAGGTGCCTTGACCTTCGACGCGGAATATGCCAGGTGGCTCGAGGAACACAATCGGCGGGTGAATGAGCTGAGAGGGGCCGTGAACTCGCATGCGGGTGATACGGAGCTCCGGATAATCTTGGACGGCGTTGTGGCCCATTATGACGACATTTTCAGGATAAAAGCCGATGCTGCTAAGTCCGATGTTTTTCACATTTTGTCTGGAATGTGGAAAACTCCGGCCGAGAGGTGCTTTTTGTGGCTCGGTGGGTTTCGTTCATCCGAGCTCCTAAAGGTGTGTTCTTCTCTTGAACACGCAAAAAAACTTGTTTCTGGGTTGGAATGCAAATTTGGAGTTTAAGAATGTCTAAAAAATTGTATAAAAAAATCAAAATAATTCTGACATTCGTTTTTTCGCATCTTCTCATAAATCAGTTGGAGCCGCTGACTGAGCAACAGGTTCTTGCCATCAACAACTTGCAGCAGTCATCTCAACAAGCTGAAGATGCTTTATCACAGGGAATGGATGCTTTGCAGCAATCTTTAGCCGAGACGTTAGCTGGCTCTCTTGCTCCCTCGGGCTCATCTGGAAATGTTGCAAACTACATGGGCCAAATGGCAATGTCTATGGGCAAAATAGGAACTTTAGAAGGCTTCATACGTCAGGTACACTCAGGTTCACATACTGCTCACTTTCGTTCATGTTGTGCTTTCAAAACAGAAAAGTGTGATTTGTGGTTGGCATTTTGGGCTGTTGAGAAGCTTTACTTTTGAACTATGATTAATTCTTGAAACTACCTTGAGGTAAAAAATCATATTTTAAGAATATTTGAAGATGCCCCTTGAAGTTTTTGTTTGTTTGCAGATAGCCCTCCCATGTAACTTTTTTTTTTTTTTTGAAACTGTGAATAGTAGATCTATGGCTACACGAGAATGTGCTTATAAAGTGTAAGCTATGTTTAGTTAATTATTAATAGCCTCCGAGTTCAACCCAATTACAAGAAAACCCAACAAAGTTTGATAATTACCAATATTCCCCTTATGTTTTATGCCGCCTTCAATGTTTACCCCCTTCATAAGCGAAAAGACATTTCCGAACAACTACACTTGACCCATCAATTTGAACATCGAATCAAACCTCGAGTGCAATAAGATCGAACCTCTAAGGGTAGTTTTTTGTGCTGTTATTATCTCTTTACATATAACATCAAAGCTAACATTTTTTATTTTTTTTTTATTTTTATTTTTTTTTCAGGCTGATAATTTGCGGCAACAAACTCTTCAACAAATGCACCGTATACTAACAACTCGCCAGTCGGCTCGTGCGGTCCTTGCCATCAACGACTACTTTTCTCGCCTCCGAGCCCTTAGCTCACTTTGGCTGGCTCGCCCTCGTGAGTAACTGACGTGTTTTTTTCATTATAAGTGTATTGTTAGGTTTGGGGATATGAATATCGTGGGTTGGGGATACACATATTTGGCTGAGTTTCGTTGTTTACACTTAAAGTTTCGAAACAGAAATTCAAGCTGAGAAGAGGAGTTAGATGGAACCATCTCAATGTAGTTGTAATGTTTGTACCATTGACAAATTTGTAAAATTTCCATTGTTGTGTAACTTATTGTGGCTTTTAAGTTCAAGTTACAACTGATTTTTTTTTTTTTACAGTCTTGTCAATGAGAGGTCCTGGATTGTTGGCTTTTAGCTACTTAACTTACTTTACTGGAGATCTTCTTCTTCTCAAAATTTCTTTTAACAATTTTATGCCATGTTAGACTGCCCTTTCTTGTAAGCATTTTCATACCAATGGCCATTAAAAAGAAGTACAATGACCCTTCATGTAGACAAGCTACTTTAAATAATCATTTAAAAGAAAACTTTTCCAATGAGCAATAGCATTTGCTATATGGGTTTGTGTTACTTCCCACTGGGAACAGTCAAAGCCACCTAGAACAAAAATTTACCGACAGGCGGTTAAAGTCGAACAATGGTTTTAAAACACCAAAAGATACATTCTATCCAGAAGAGATAGAGAAAAGGTAACAAATGTAAACAATGTGTGCAATCACATTGTTCTAAAACACCAAAAGATACATACTATTCAGGGGAGAGAAAAAAAGGTAACAAATGTAAAGATTAAACATGTGTGTAATCACTGATGCTAATTCGCCAAAACATTTCGTGTTTTTTTTTTGTATTAATGTTCCAAGAGTTTGATCTTCTCAAGGCAGTTTTGCATCTGCTGGTGCGTGCCAGACGAGATGCGATCCCCAGCTAATATTTTGTACTGTTCGAATTTCGACTCATCACACTTCAAGGCAGCATTTCTGCAGGCCCTAATACTACCTGAAAGAGATAAGAGTCCGGAAAATGTAATCAGGAATTAGAGCTTACGGAAATTTGGGATTTCAGTATCAGGCTGAAAGGTTACTTGTTTACGAAATATTTCATTCACATTTTAATTCATACTCAAAATCTAACTCCACCTTAACTTAGCCCTACTATCCCCACTATCCTTAAGATTATTCATATAATTAAATAATGTCAATCATTCTTATACATCACATCAACTTTAATTCACTATTCATCCCTCACATAATTTTAACTAATCATCACTTCGAATCATTTATCTCCTACTTTTACAATCAAATCAATTTTAAGCATTTCTTTTTTAAAATATTATTCTAATACGAACTTAAAATCTCACTAACAACTAGCCATATCAATTTTTTCAAAATTAACCAAAAGAGACCAATCAAATATCAATATATTTATAAACAGGTTCTTTCTATACCAAAGAAATGTAATAATCAAAGAAAATGCCAAGTTATATGACTTACCACTTAGGTCAAGAAGATTGAAAACGACCGGACAAGTTCCGATGCTCTTAACCATAGTAATCGCAGCCCACACTTTCTGGTAGTCCTCTCTTGAAGTCCTAAAAATGCAGACCTTTGTAATTGGGTTCACATACTTCACTGCAAGAAAAGGATTTCCAAAGCTCAAAAAGATGACTCGAGTCATCAAGGTTCATTATGCCTATACCAATTATTACAAGGTAAATAGATACAGAAAAATAGGAATGTAATTAATCCCAACCTTGAAATGAATTCATACATGAGGCCAGACCACATTCACCGAAATTCGTTAAAATGCTATCTTTCACCGCTTTTGATAAGTTGAACTGGGTGATTATAATGGGGTCGTCAATGGAGAAATCCTTACTCGGATCCAGAAAAACCTCCATCACCATGTACCTATTCTTAAACCCTACCATTGTGTTTTACCTTCAAGCAACAAACTCCAGTGTTAAAACTTAAAACTTCACAATACGAAGCAGGGAAGCTTCACATATCGTCAAAATGGCATCCTAAAGGCCGGTAGAAGCAAATATGATGAACCCAAAAAAAGCAAAAAATCTTCTGTAACTGGCATCGAAAGAGCAAAATGCAATTCCTAGGCAGGACCAGAAAATAAGCTAAAACTTGCATTGAGCTCCCGAAAAATCAATCATGGGTAACTGTAAGCTAATAAGCAAATTACATGACAATTAAGCAAACAAAAAAAACCCTCAGAAGCTGAACGACCATCAAATCAAGCCCAACTCGTTTCTGTAAACGAGTAGTCATACGGCACTTGCATTTTTTCGCAGCGTTCATCACTGGATTTCCTACAATATGCAAATACTTACAGAGATTGAAGAAACAGAGACTTTTACTCACTACAGTACATAGAAAAAACCAACGATGAACAGTCCATTGTAAAGTAATCGTACCTAGCTCAAAAATCAAGCAAAACAAAGGCTTCGTTGAGATGGGGAAATTTAAACGCCGCCCCTTCCGAAGATCGGAAATCGGGCTTCTTCGCTCGACGGCGAGGACGATAAAGAGAATTCGGCGGCGGCGGCGCAAAGAAGGATGTGGCGAACAGTACTGGTGGTAGTCGTGGTGGACGTTCAGCGGCGGATATGGAGGAAAGGGCCACGGCGATGGGGATTCTACGGGAGCAAACAGTAGTTGTACCTAACCGCTGGTGGTACTCAATTCACCGGTGACGGCGAGTTTGAGCTATGGATAAGCGGTTTATTTATTGATGAGCCGTACCAGGCCCAATAAGGTAGCTTCCACAAGACGATATTATTAGGCCTAGCTAAAAAGCCCATATAGCCTAATGAGTTATTTTTAGTAATAGTCCAATTAGTAGGCCCAGGGAATCCGGCAGATGGGCCAAAAATCTTAGAGGAAATTGCACTCCCTACTTTTGTTTCTTTAATATATTATAAATTTACAACCAATAGTTAAATATTTATGTAATTACCTAACTAAGCATAAAATATTGCTAATATA